GATGCGTGTTGCTGAGGTGTCGCATATTAAGAAAAAATAGCCGTTCAGTTCTTTCAGGTTGTCAGTGGTGGTCTAACTTAGATAATTCAACTATTAAAATTATTACAATCTCCACAAATACCTATTCTTTTAGTATCTTTTTGTTGATTGATATACATTCTGTGGATAATCTTATCAATACTAGAATTTCACTACATGTTTCTTGTATATATTCTAAATTGTGACTACTATTGTAATTCAGAATGCTCAATTTGTCCAATTATGAACTTATCAGTAAGATCTATCTAGATTGAAGTGTTGATAATGAAACTGAGAATTAAACCCATTAAATATTCTGGTACGTTTTCTAACTGAACGCTAGACTTGATTCCTAAGCTCTCCTAGTAACCTGTACTGTCGGTTGATATGTTAAACCCATATACCCTTATCCTAACTTCTGGACAAGCCAATTTACCTATCCAACTTGAGTCAAGGTTTGACATTGTAAATTGTTCACTTATTAACCCTGACCATTTTTATATGAGCGTAGGTGTGTGTACACTTCTTAACCTATTCATCACTTGTCTGTAACTTATTCTTATCTGACTATAAATATTGATTAACGCTTGATTAATGCGAGTTGGCTTACCCGCCATATCCAATGCGTGTAATTTTCGCTGCTCGCTGATATTTGCGCATGTGCTCATAGCTTTTTGGCCTGCGTCTATTGTTAATAAAATTGTAGTTGCGGCTTCTATTTGCCTTCTGATTTTATTCACCTTTAAGATTTGTATTATAACGTTTATCAAGGTGAACGATTAACGAAGCACGGCACTACAACCTACACCTCCAGAGCTAAGTCTACACAGCAACTTGAACACGAAGGAAAAGGCGCGAAATATTCAAGAAAACGTTTTACTCCAAAGATTCGTTCCTGTAGAGAAAATCTAGGATTTTTATAACATTTAAGATGGCCCTGGTTTTACGAAAAATTCTGTAACGCTACTAAACATAGTAGTATTATAAATAATCATCCAATCAGAAACTCAGCGTATAGCTTTCCATTTACTAAATGTTTCTGGCAAAACTTCTAGTGAATGCTGATTGGATAAGATGCTTCCTTGTATTTTCAGATCCTCTTCCGTGGAGTTTTATGGATGTCTTCAATATATTCAATTACTTATTCAGTAAGTATGATGTCTATTTATAAGTATGCCTATCGTTATTCATATTAAAGATTGAATATTGATTAACAGTTGAATAGATCTTCAAGTGTTTAGAATGTAAGTCACAATATTGCCATTTTGTTAGAAGTCTTACTATATTTAGATTGTTTCTAACTGTATATTTTAGCTTGATCAATGTTTTCTAGATGCAATTTGCTGATCATTGAACTTCAGAGAACATAATGAAAGTTAGTCATTTACTTTTATAATTCAATGTTTCAATAGAGGTGAATATTAGTACGAGAGATCACCATATATAGATGCGACATACTAAACTATTCGGTTTGTGTGAGTGCTAGATTATTGACCGGGTGCCCAAATCAAGGTTGGTGGTTCACTTGAGGAGCCACACCCTGAGCCTTTCTTACGAAGGTTTAATCCACAAGGCGGTGGAGCAATGTTAGATATAATTCCACGGTATCTGGTGTCCATCAATAGGTTTACATGACATTTAATTCTTCAGGATCCTAGATTACATCATTGGTAGAGAATCAGGTTTTTCCAACTCCTCTAGGTGAACCATTCCGTGTCCACCAACCCAGATAAAGCACCGAACATATCATTAAGAATATCCGACCCCTACTGGTATTTATGGACCAGTATTTTTTTGTGCTTTAATTTCAGTGAAATTCATCAATATCACATAAACCATTGAAATCTTTATTGATTATTGTTATAAACGTAAAGTATGCCGTCGCTAATTGTTATAAACGTAGAGAGAGAGGATGCTGATTATAACAGTAGGGGTTTCTGGTTATAACAGTCCTTTTACTTCTTACACGTATGTGGGACGTTAATTTATCTTAGACGAATATCTACACTAGATTCCCACCCAGTGTCTATTCTACAGGACTTCAACAGAACTCAGATCAAGAACACAATATTAGCCTGACTATAACGTCAATATATTTCCACACGAAAATCCGACATAAAGAACAGTCAATCAATAAGTATCCAACATCAAGGAACAGTCAATAAGTCCATACATAATAAGGATAGGGAAATATATATATCATTGTTGAAAGCGTGAGTCAATTGAAGCTAGACCACCATGGAAAACCTGGAAACACTGGACGGCCGTTTCGTCCTATTATGGGACTCCTCAGCAGTGCGCATCCACGAACCTGCTCTCGCGATCGGGATTCGAACCCAGGACCTACCAGTCTCGAGCCGAAGCCCTTAACAGATAGACCACTGAGCTGGCATCCAACGGTTATGGGCTTCGGCTCGAGACTGGTAGGTCCTGGGTTCGAATCTCGCTCGCGAGAGCAGGTTCGTGGATGCGCACTGCTGAGGAGTCCCATAATAGGATGGAACGGCCGTCCAGTGTTTCCAGGTTTTCCATGGTGGTCTAGCTTCAATTGACTCACGCTTTCAACAATGATAAATACTAAATCTCCACAAAACCCCTTCTATAATAAATATATATATAACACATAACACCTGTCATCCCCTCTAATGTCTGATTCATCGAGACAACCAATCATTGACATTCTTGCCCACACATCAATTATCGACAATATAGAAAGATCATTCCTTTTTTTGGGGGGGGAATCAGTAATTATCATTTAAAAGACGACAAAATTCATTCATATCAAATTACTAAAAACAGAACTAATTATTGCGGTTTATTGGTCTACCTAGTGTTGCTTTTTATTCAGACATAGTTTATTAGTTTCATAAGAATTGACTACTATGAGTAGTATCATAGATTTAAATAGTAGTATATTATAAAATACAACAAATGAATAAATGGTCTACTTTGAAATAATCACAATTGATTGATCACTGAATGGTGATCAATGTCATGTGTGTTAAGTCTTTCTTAGTGCAGATCGAATGCTATCGATCAAGTTGCAATATGATCACATCTCAGTCCTACAGTAGGTCGGTCGCGACCCGGAAAGCTCAGTGATAACGTCTTTGAATATGAAGCTGAATGACACAGGATTGAAGTCGTCAGGGAGCATGAGTTCCCTCAAGACTAAAGGTATACCTTGCTGACGAATGCCAAGTGGCACGAAAACTGTGTCTAGGGTTTCCTGTTGACCACTTTCAACCACCATCTTACTTCGAATTAATATGTTGACAGTTTTTAATTGGATATATATAAGGCATTATTGTAAGCGATAAACAATCAGGTGATGAGTTATAAGTATGTTTAATGAATTTTGATAGATAATTTCACAACAAATGATCGATAATGCTTGGATAATCGAAGGAATTCAACCAATTCCATCTTATCTTAGACTACGTATTGTTACCAGTTATCAAATTGATGTAAAAGGTATTTGATTGTAACTAGAAATTTAACAAATGAATTTCAACTTAAAGCTATGACGCTCTCTATGACCTTGGAACGATTTGATACTGATTATGAGGAATTTATGATCAATATACGTTCAGTGAACAATATTTCATCCGTGTGACCTATTCTAACCAATAGTGGGAGACTATGGGTGACATGGCTCGAAATGGATCACAATGGTGTAGGTGTATACACTCTTTGTCTTTCCTTAAACCGTGAGATTAAAAATACTTTATGCATTTGCTCCTACGAACTAGTTCTTTCTCCCTGTATCATATTTTTGCACACAATCTTCCATTTATATAATACTACCATTGAAGTAACTACTTCTATGTATTTGGTGTTTATCTTGTTGTGCTAATGAGATGTGGCAACTTGGATCGATGTATATATGTGTCTGGTACGACGTTGTAGCTGACTGACTGACAACTAATATCAATCCTAAACTAAACCTACATGTTGATTTAAAAGCCCGCTAAGAATCAGTAAAAACTTTCTTTAGGGATCATATCATTCAAGTTGCAAGCTAAGTTAATTATTATAACTAATAAACAATAAAACAACTCGGTATTGATATATTATGTTCAATAGAAGATGATTAGACGTTATCGTTAAGAGGTTTTACTTAATCTACATTTCATCCTAGTTGCCAATTATCTCCCATATAATCTTATGGGAATTCATCCAAATCGTATAATTTATATCCACACCATTCAATTTCATAGTTAACCATATTATATAACAAAACTAATTAAACTGGGAAAGATTTCTTATATAGTTAACAGAAAAGGGTTTTGTGAAGATTTTAGTAATTTAATGTACTTGAGATCATCAGTCAATTGAAGCTAGAACACCATCGAAAACCTGGAAGCACTGAACGGCCCTATTATGGGATTCCTCAGCAGTGTTCATACACGATCCCGCCTCGGAAAATTCAAACTCAGAACCTACCAGTCTCTGCTGCATCATCTCCTTGTCTCATAATTCAGTCGCACCAGCGACAATGAGGTATTTCCTGGAGTTCTAGTGAGAAGCAGTAACCAGTGTAATTCAATCAGGTCTGTTGGGAGATATCAACTCATTGATGACATCGGTGAATGATTGCTCAATTTCGTAGATTGGTTTAAGTTAGACTTGTTATATAGTGTTGAAATTCTACTCCTTGACTCTAATAAGATTCAAAGATATTTTAACAACACAAACTGTACTACTTATATATGTAGTTAGTAGTCAATTCAATTACTCTCAAATATACATCCAGTATAAATGGTATATAATAGAATACTAAAGAAAAGAAATAAAAATGCTTTCTTTTTATTTATTTTAATGAATAAAATAATAAATATCTATATAAAGAATGATTGTAAAACGCATTGAATTACTTGACTAGATTATAGCTGATATAAACAATAAGAAGAAGAACAAAATAAATAGACAGAGTTGGATGGAGAATGCTGGTGAGCGGCCTATGCTCCTCGACGAGGGGTAACAGGCGTAAGTAAGTAAGTAACTCCCATGTTAGTAATATCATAAGCAGTATATGGGCATTTCAATGCACTTATCCCAGTAACTAACATTTAACGTCTCTATATATAAAATACTGAACGATAGTAGAAGTAACCGAAATAAAAAAGAAAGCAAATAATGGAAGCATTCAATTCTTTCAATCAGCAGTATTTTCCATAGTTTATGGTCTTTTCTTCTAATGAATTCCTTACAGTTATACATTCAATATTTCAGTAGATACCATTTAAATATTGTTGTCATGATAGAAATGGGAGAGAATTATTTACTCAATAAGTAAACATACTACTTATAACTTTAACAGTAGTTTAGAAATTGACACAGAAAAAACCGACATCTTTACAAATGTTAATACTGTTTAACTAGAATTTGTTATAGTGAAATTACTACAACATATCTCTTTTGATAGAAATGAATGTGAAGTGTTATTAGTTAGATTTAAATGATTGAAGGAGTTCATTAACATTAAAGTTGAAGATTGTTCATCAAATGATGATGATGCTGATGAGGGTGTTGTTGTTGTGGTTGTTGATCTTGTTAATGTGCCAAAAGATAATGCTGGTGAAATAGATGCTGATGATGTATGAGATGATTGAGAATAAGATTCTGTACATAATGATAATGATGTTGTATTGGTAGTAGTAGTAGTAGTAGTAGTAGTACTTGTATCCATGGAAGTACAATGGTCTTCTTTTGAATCAATTGAAGATAGAAATGGGGAATTTTGTAGGGAATCAATCTCAATGGAAGCTTGATGAAGTGACTAAAATTATCAAAAGAAAAACGATATAAACATCATTCATATATATAAGAAGTTAGGAGCTATGAACGTAACGTACACATAACATATTACCAATATTATATACCTGGCAAATAATGAATAGTCAGTCAGTCAGCTACAGCGTAGGACCAGGTACACATATGCATCGGTGCAAGTTGCCATACCTCGTTAGCACAGAATTCATAGAAGTAGTTAATTTAGTGGTGGTAATATATAAAAGAAACGTTGTATATAAGGATATAGTATAAGAGGGAAGACAGATATGAAACAATTTTAATCCCAATCGTTAAGCGAATATAAAGAGTGTATACACCGATGCCTTTGTGATCAATTCTGAGCCATGTCACACAGTCTGCAACCATTGGTTAAGATAGTCACGCGGACCCCAACCAAGTAGTCTGCATCTACGAACATGGCTCAGAATAGAAGTCAGTGACTTCAAGCACTGATGCCACGTTTTGGTATGGCCGCCCCTAACTTTCTTCCAACCATCCCCTACACTAGTCAGCGTAGAGCGTCGTAGTAATCGGTGACCGACGTCAAGCAGTTGTCCTTTGGGCACTGCAGTCACGCTCTCACGTCATTAAGACCACTTCTAATCAAATATCCCTTCCAGGTACCTCGATAATACATCCTACATGGTGTGGGCAACCGGAAAGTGATAACTGCCCTCATACCTCCAACAGCACTCAAGACCACTGTCAAAATAATGAATAGTCAATTTGTGAATGTATAACTGAGCATATAGGCAACTGAGCTACGCATTTTTCTAATGATCATATAATTATTACGTAACTAAGGAAAGATAGCGCGTATACTGATGAAATTGTGTGTCTTTAAAGACTGTTGTTGAAACAAATGTTACTTATCCTTAGCCACCGCCTATCTCAAAGTTCTTTGTTTGTTGGTGTACTATCAAGTTGGTAAAAAGCTAGAAGCGACTAAATTGAGATATGGTATGAGCCTATAAAGTCACAAACTGTTGAACTGAGCTGGTGGATATTACTTGATTAAGTTCTAGGTGCATTTTGTAACCAATGGTTTCAAACATTAGGTGAATATCATATTACTTTTTCCATTATTTCGCTGTGAAATTCATTCATTCTGATACGTAGTTAAAGTTTTTGTAAAAATTCTGTCTATTTCTCCTGTATGTGAAATTTGTTAACTAATCATCAAATGTGAGTAGAATCAATATTTATATCAGCAAGTGTGCTCACGTGCACATGGGCTCCAGTATCCTGAGGGGACAAATGGCGTAGTAATTATTTGTTGGTCACCGGCTACCATAGGATTGCATCTTCTCACGATGCTCCACTACCTTGTGGATCAGATTTTTTAGGTCAAAGGCTCCGGTTGTGGTACCCTAAGAAAACCACTTGTTTCAGTTTGGGCACCTGAGCAGTATTACAGCCCTCACACAAATCAAATGAGATTTGTGTGGCGCATATATATCTGGTGCCTCTTTGTACCAATATTTATGTGTTTAAATAAATGAATCACGTGTCATTTCAATTTACTTTAGGGATTAAATAAATCCTGATCATTAGTTTGTGTAAGTTTCGTGTGGAAATCTAAGGTTCCTATTTTCAAGCTACAATTAGGATATTACAATCAATGATTATTTATTTTTACTATAATTAATATAGACATTACTTCCATATTTTTTATATTTATTAAAACACATAAATAAGGAGGCACCAATATATATATACTCCACACCTCGTTATTCGATTTGTTTGAGATCTCAATTATTGTCCGGGTGCCCAAAGCGAAGCAGATGATTTACTTGGGGGGCCACAACCTAAGCCTTCAACCTGGAGGTCTAATAAAAAAGGTGGTTGAGAGACGTCAGATGCCATCCTATAATAGACGATGACCAAAAATAGACTTATATGCTTTTTGTTCCATCCGAATCCAGGAGTCCATATACACCATTAGTTTTGAGTCAGATTTTTCCAAACCCCGTAGGTAAACACATTGTGTCCACCATACCGATTAAAACACCAGAAATTTGTTTTCTATCCTCTCAATTTCGTAAACAACAACTTTGCAGCGAGAAGGACTTCCCTTGCAGTGGCTGTGTCATGTGAGATCATTTGGAGAGGGAGAGCTGACTCTACCCACTCTCGTTTATAACACAGAATTTGGTGGTCACTTCGAGAAATGTAAAAGCTTTATTGATAAACTCATCTCGTTGTACTGATATACTTCAGTGACTTTAATTAATCCATGTATAACTGAATGTTTTACTTTGTTCAGTAGTGATTAAGATTAATTCAATTTTCACAAAACAATCTAATGATACTACATAATTGGATCAAAATATTACGAATTATTAAATTTAAACACATAAATATTGGTACAAGGAAGCACCAGATATATATGCGCCATAAAAATCTCATTCGATTTGCTTGAGGGCTTTGATATTGCCCAGGTGCCCAAACTGAAGAAGGTGGTTTAATTAGAGGGCCACACCCGGAGCCTTTGACCGAAAGATCTGATCCACAAGGCAGTCGAGCATCCTGAGGAGATGCAGTCTCATGGTAGCCGGTGAACAACGATTGATTCATACGCCATTTGTTCCCTCAGGATATTGGAGCCCATGTGCACCATTGGTTTGGAATCAGGATTTTCCAACTCCCCTAGGTGGACTCCCCTTTTCCACCAACCCGGTTAAAGCGCCGGACTTTCGCTTTTCGTCCTCTCAATTATTATTATTATTATTATTATTATTATTATTATTATTAATATTACGAATATTCATAAACGGTAAAGATTGTCAACTTTTAACAAAAATTTTTTGAAACAAATCGGCGAGATTATAATTTATAGATGGACCAATCAGATTTAGGATAACAAGTCTTAGATTTTGGCACGAAATTCATTTATCCATTTGGTTAAATAGTGTTCTGGCATTTTAACTGATGAAAACCCTATTTATTTATTTCAACACATAAACATTGGTTCACCAGAAAACTAGAAATATATGCGCCATATTAAAAGTTTTCTTCATTTCATTGTGTGAGGGCTATGATACTACCCACACCAAAGCAGATGGTTTTTCTGGGGGGGGTCACACATCTGAAGCCTTTGATCGACAAGTCTGATCCACAAGGCAATGGAGCATCGTAAGGAGATGCAGTCCCATGGTAGGCAGTGACCAACAATTGGATCACACGCCAAATCCCCTGGGTGGAATTACCGGCCGGTTAAAGCGGCGGACATTCATTTTTCGTCCTCTCAATTTCGTAAACACCCCCGCCACTGTGAGAAGGCAGAGGTAACTTTAAGCTATTGTCTAAACTGTCGAATACAGAGTCTTGGTTTCGCCAAAGTCAAAACAAGTAAGCTATTTGGCCTAATAAACTTTATCTGTTTCTAAAACGTAAATTAACAACATTAGTATGCGAATAAACAGTAGTCTATTACATAGGGAAAAGGTGAAATATAAACGACATACTGAACAGTAACTGGAGAATAGGAAAAATGAGTCAAAGGGGAGAATATTGTGTTAGAATGAACATAAAACTGTGATTGGTGGATAAAATAAAGACAGTCATACAAGGTCAAAGAATTTAGTGCGGTGGTGAGCGTTTCACTTATCATTGGTGTGTTCGCTTATGGATCTCACTTTACAGGGGGTTTTATGGAGATTTTAGTCACTTTCAATAGCTGAGATCATGAGTCAATTGAAGTTAGACCAACATAAAAAACCTGGAAGCACTGTGTGACGGCCATTTCGTCCTATTGTGGGACTTTTCAATCGTAGTACGCATCCACGTTCTTGCCTCGCGAGATACGAACTCAGGACCTACCAGTCTCGCGCCAGAGCATTTACCCAATAGACCACTAAGCCGGCATCACTTAAATGTTATTCATAATTAGTAATAATCTCATCAATAAATCTTATATAAACAAATCAATAAAAATTTACCTCTAATAAACCATTCATTATAGGGAAACAATTAACAGTTGAACTATTATCATGATGATTATCCATTTTCATATGATCATCACTATCATCATTAATATTTAAACAATCATCATTATTGGCTTTGATCAATCTATTATCCTTCCTCTCTAATCCATTTATATTATATTGAACTGATTTATATTGATTAAGGGTTAGTCCCTTAGTTACCAGATTATCCTTATTATTATTATTATTATTACAATGGTAATGATCATGGATACATTGATTACTTGTATTTGGACATTGTTTAATAGAATCATGATTATCTTTATTATTGATTATATAATAATCATTTTTCATATATTTTTGTTTTAATCTTTTAATATGAATTGAATCTGATAAATATTCTAATTTACACATTGAATTATTATAAATATATTTACATGCTTTCAATTTATCTATACATAATTCAACATGTTGTTTAACATCCTAAAATAACAGAAAGAAAAAGAATTATAGAATATAGAGATTATAAACAGTGATAAATGGAATCTAGCAATGGAATCTAAGTGTAAAAATGGCTCGCTGGCAAACTCTAGGAAGCTTTAAGAAGCTCAGAAAGAATTGAAGACATTCCAACCAATCACCGCTAGAGGAATATTTCAGAATGTCAACGTATAAATTCTATATTAGATGAATAAGAATAATCAAGAAATTAACTACTAAGATTTTGTTTCGAATACTGTATTATCTTTTCTTAGTAGTAATATAATCTTACCGACCTGACACAATCATCACACTACCACCTAATCGATGTGTACATGTTAGTAGATAATTTTTTGTTAATGATTAACTACTAAAGAATATATTTCAACTATAACAGATCTACGATTTCATTCAAAAAATATAGTTCAACAATAACATTGTGTATACACTAACATAGATATGATTATAAACTTGAAATTCAAACAATGTAACTGTATTAAATAACAAGTGAAAGGAGTTAGTGAAAGAAACCGATAAACAACGATAGATTTAATTAAGTATGAAAGTTATTTATCAAGAATACTGTTATGCTTGACACTAAATCGATTCCGCGGTAACGAATGAAAGTCAATGACACGATAAGCTATTCTAATCGGTTGTCCCAGGCCCCGTTAACTAGATGAAGAAGTCCAAGGCAAGTAGGGGAATATATATGTATCCCGTAAGCAGCCGAGTACAAGCGATCCAATAAGGGGAAAAGTCAAGCGCATTTATACAGCAACAAATTGTCCTTGAGCATTATTAGTAAATAGCACACACAAAGAAACAACGGACCAATAGCGTTTAAGATAGTTTACAAGTGGGAAAATGACGTGAAGGTAAAAAGAGCGCTTTTGGCGCGAAAACAGCTAAATTCAAATTTTCAAAATAAAATTACAAGATTAAGCCATTTACCAAGTAAGTTCTGGGGATTTGACATCCCCAACAAATACATTCTATAGAACAAGTAACAATTATTCAGAATTGAATTATTTTGAATGAAGTTAAAGAAATCTGATTCATTGAATTCTATATTAATAATCTGAAGGTCGTAGGTTTGAGTCCTAACGGAGCATGTTGTTAAAGTAGTGTAAGAATTAAAGTGATACAAATATAATCGATTAATTTTCAGTTAGTTTACTAAACATAACAATGTCAAGTTGTAGTCACTGTGGGAGTAGTAATAGTAGTAGTAGTAGTAGTAGTGTTGTAAATGAGAACACAGGTGAGGACAACCAATTATATATTCAGCACAAATTACAACGTTAATTGGTAAAACACAAAAACCATGCTATGATACACTATTTGCAAAATGTTCTTCAATTGCCTCAGGCTTCATTGTTCCTGGATTTCCATACAAATTGCTTTTTATTTCCGTTCTTCTCTTCTTGATATTCTCAATATTCTGCTGTCAGATATTGTATTCCTTACTCACCATATATACTACTTATATCGATATAAGTAGCTCACACCACAGTAGTAGTAGTAGTAGTAGACCAGAATATGTTTTACTGTCAATGGTAAGGTATACATGTATATATCTAAGTGAGTGTGAACAATATTGTAATTTTTTGTGACATAGTAAAGTTTTTTTTAATATATATTTTAATGGTGTCATGTTTAGACAATAAATTCGGTTTTATTTAAGCACATAAACATTAGTACAAGGAGGCATCGAATAGGTATGCGTCACATAAATCATTCTATGATGTTGGCTCCACATAAGTAGCATATGACCATAATCGGGAATTGGATGTATTTCGGTAGAAGATCGAGAATAGAACGCAATTGGTATAAGAATGCATGAACAATGAAATCAGAAACGATGGATCGATATTTGCAGAGGGAACAGTCAAGATTGAGACAATTAATTGATATTTTGCAAATTAACTGTTGTCAGATTTTATAAAGAGATATTTTGAAATTATGTGCCCATATACATTCGATTGTCCCCACTGGTGTTCTTCCTCACTACAATTCGACTTGTGTGGGGGCTGAAATACTATCCGGATACCCAAACCGAAGCCAATAGTTTTCTCAGAGGGCCACTACCTGAGTCTTTGACCTAAATGTTTAATCCACGAGACAGTAGAACAGCTGTAGAAAATGAAGTCCTATAGTAGCCAGTCACCAAAACTAAGCTCACACTTCATTTATTATATAAGAATACTGGAGTTCATATAGACCATTGATTTGTAATCAAGGTTTTCCAGCTCCCCTATGTGAATTCTTTTCTACAACCAGTGAGGTTGAGGCGCCCGACATTCGCTTTTCGTCCTTTTAATTTCATAAACAACAGTCCCGTTGCGACAAAACACTGAGTAGGACCTCCCTGTCAGTAGCTGTATACGCGTGGTCATGTGAGAACATTTGGAAAGGGAGAGATGGCTCTCTCAACTCCCGACGGTACCAGGGCATTCGGAAGATAAATATTTCCAAGTCGAATAGATTATTTAGAACGTTCTTTTCTACTGAGATCAAAGAGAGCTAACATTAAATATAAAGTTTTATCCACTCAGCATTGGAAAAACCTTTATTAGTTAATTTGATATCTTTAATACTGATTCGATGGCTGTTTAAAGTACCACGCACTGGCCTATTGTTTTTCAAGTGATGTGAACCGCGAAACAATAAGCCTTAACAAACTACGGAAGCTATTTTTGGGGACGTTAATTCATTTAATTCAAAGCTTGTAAAACTGTAACATTTATTTTGCCTCTAGTCTATTCTACAGATCATGAGCTTTCGTTTGATGTATGTTTCACTGGCATAACATTTCCTGTTCCAAGGCTATTGTAATTTAGACGTAACCTTTTGTACTCTATTTTCTACTCTAATCCCCTCAATTTTGAACATAATTGTATTTTTCTAATTATTGTACGTCGTGATCAGTTTAATCATCTATTTATTCATGTATCTTTTTATGCTAATCTGAATTCGGAATTCCAGTGCTAGATCGGGATTGGAATCAAGTGATTAGTGTTCCAGTTGTCTTGTATTCTCTCTCTCGCGTGCTTTTCAGCCAATCAGGGATAGAATAGTTTCGTCTCTTTACCCCCTGCTTCGAACTCACGCATACTAGCCTCAAGATTAAGTCAGTCAGCCTATCGCGTCAAGGTCTTAATCTACATTAGACAAATTATACTCGGCACGAAAGTGGGTAGACAGATTAAGGACATAACAAAGTTCTATCAGATTATAAGAACTTTTAGATGTTCTTAATATATGTCAAGATTTCACAGGAACATTCATCACAGACGACCCAATCTAATCTGAAGACATGATTCTGTGTTAATATAAAAGAGATATTTTTCTTTATTTGAACAAAAACAGTTTGAACTGTTGGTTGTAGTTATAGAATGCTTTAATTCTGTGTAATTTCAAGATGTGTAGCAGTAGTTCTGTCTTATCATGACAATCTGGGTAAAACTATGATATTTCATTTGGATTGTTATTCAACAATAAGATTTTTAGTAACATTTCAAAGGAAATCAATAATCGTAGTCATTAGAGTTCAAGTATGTTATGTGTGAAACATAAGGATTTGATTTAAGTTAAACACATAAATCATTGGGTATACAAGACTGGAGGATCCAGAGTGTAACCTCCAATGATGTGGTCGTGTAGATACACATAACTTAGCTACATATTAGGATGAGACAGGTATCCTGTACTTTCTACTTTTCAATGATCAGTTCGTGATGTAAGCTTATGAAAAAGAAAATGAAGAGATGTCTCGTTTTCTTATCTATTTTAAATCAACTACACAGATTATAAACGCCATTATATAATAAGTTCTGGTATTAGTATGATAAAATGTAGTGTAAATATCATCATCTACAAATGTAAACTGAAAAAAGAACAAACTTAAAGACATAGATATAACACGAGAAAATTTTAAAACATTAGCCACAATGGAACAAAATAAAATAGATGAATAGTGGCTAGCAGTGGAATCCAGTTTGACGCGTGTTTCGTCCTATTTCAGACTCGTCAGCTGGATGTACCTGCATTCCAGATTTGATTTTCACTCTTGGACTCGAAGCCAGTACCATTCGCTTTAAACACCATCGAGTTATCCAAGATGCGTGTCCTGGATTCCACTGCTAGTCATTAACCATCTTTGCTTTTAATCCTTGTGAATTAAGGCTATATCGAGGCAATACGCATAGTATGCACATAATCAATTGCACACCTAAACATCAATGAAAAGGTTCAACTAAACAATACCAAGTGAATTTAAACAGATACTTATTCATAAATGAATAAAATCAACAACAACAAACAAAAAAAACATCATATGAACATCGAATAAGAATTTAATAGACCTATTCAACTTTACTGTATACTGACTGACTGACTGATTGACCTAATAAATAGATTCAATAATCAAGTACAACTAACTTAGTCATCAAGAAGGAAAGATCAAAAGTTCATATAAACAAGTATCTATGCCCTTTTTTCTATTTGAAGCATGAACAGCATACACAAATATTCCAGAAGGTCAACATATGACAGAATGTTATTTGTAATTGTATAAACTATGACGATTGATAATATGACTTTATATATATATATATATATATATATATATATATATATATATAAACGCAACGGAATGAAGTTTATCTCATTAGATATTTAAAAATAAAATGAATAGGAAAACATTTTCGATGACCTAAGGCCTCCTCGTGGTGCTTCTGTGTAATAGAAGAAACCATATGAGGCAGCTCGGGTGGTCGATGGACTGACCCACTACTATATCGTAACCGAGATCACATGAAGATCCACACTTTAAGACAGTAAAACCGTAAACGAATGACATCTATGCATGCTTATAAATGTGAACTATATGAGTCACGGCTTGTGCAGTATATGCGCTAGGATCGATTTGATGAGCTACAATACAAAGTCTGCTCTCTGTTGAAAAAGGTCTGCCCTATTAAAAAAAAACAAGTCTACCC